CCTCTTCAGCCATTCCTTTGTTCCCAGCACCCCCACCTTTGGGTGCACAGCCTGGGCCTGCACGCTCCCCAGCACTCTGGTTGTAGGCCTCAACATCAGACGGCCCCTCGGAGACAAAGCAGCTACTCCCAGCTGTAACTTCAGGAACATGGCCAGAAGCCCCCTCTGGGCTCTCAGCTTCCTCCCTGCTCTCGGCTTTCTCCTGGCCCTGGGCTCCTGCTGAGCTTTCACACAGACTCCTCAGCACCTGCCAGGCGGCCTGAGCCGACTCAATGCCCTCCAGGTGGGGCAACAGCATAGCGTCCACGCTTGCTCTCAACATGCAGAGCTCCCTTTGCATTCTCAGCTCTCTATCTTCCAGGAGAGCAGCCTTCCATTCTGCTCCTCCTTCTTCAGCAGCAACTGGCATGGGTGGGGCGGGCTCCTTCTGGGCTATATCCCAGAACCCTGTGGCCAAAAATCACCCCCTGACTCTTCTAACCCAGATATCCCAGGACTGGGTTGTGAGCTTTTCAAACGGGACATCATAAAAGTCCTGGAGCTCAGCCATCTCCTCCCCCAGTGCTACCATTGGGGCTTTGAAGTACTCACGCGTACCAGCCAGCTTCAAAGGAGAGGCCTCCAGTGGCTCCTTGCAGCACACAGCATTGTAGCCAGCTTCCCTGCTTTCTTATCCCAGACGAAGCCTCAAAGCAGGACGTTTGCCCTCCGGCAGCAAAAACAACAGCTTCTCAGTTTCCAGCCTTCTTAAGCACACAGCACATCAAAGGCAGGCTTCCTCTAATTGCAATTACTGCCCCCATAACCTCTGGGATATATTGATTTATTGCTCAGATAAGCCCGGCACGCTTCCCCATCGCGGGCCTCTGCATTCCAATGGTCCGACTCATCTGAGCATAGCAGAGTTTCAACAGCGGTAAGAGGAAACCAAAAAAAACTCCAGTGCATTCTTCAGTGTGCTTAAATAAAGTCCACTCAGGATCTTAGCAGCTAGAAGCAGTTTTATTTACAGCAGACTATCCATTATCTATCACAGCGAACAGCATCGTGAAAACACGTCCTCTCTCCTCAAAAGCGAAAGTAGAGAGACAGAACAAAGACTTGAGTCTCTCGGAACTGACGTACCTCCCCCCTCCCAACTGTAGGCAGGGCGTACAGTCTGAGCTGTTTAACCCTGTAAGCTCAGGTTCTCTTCACAGTTACCTGGAGGAATGTCTCTCCCATGATTAAAGGTTTTCCACGAAGACCCTTCTGGTTGCATTGGCACCAAATAAAGCCTGGCATACCAGGAACATGTGACAGGGCCTTCTTGGTGGTTGAACCACAGATGTGGATCACTCTTCCCCCTGAGTTTTACCTGATATCAGTATTACCCGACTTTCATCACCAGTTTGAAATGTTTGCATCCCACCAGGCATTCCAAAGTGCACACACAGCTTTTGTATTAATTGTATTCTGATTAAAGGTTAGCTACCTTGGTTTTCTATGGAAATCTCAATATGCCAGCCCAATAGTTTATTCAGCAACCTTGG